TCCAACAGTGCGGCACTCCCTCAGTACTGACCCTCCAACAGTGCGGCACTCCCTCAGTACTGACCCTCCATCAGTGCGGCGCTCCCTCAGTACTGACCCTCTGACAGTGTGGCACTCCCTCAGTACTGACCTTCCGACAGTGCGGTACGCCCTCAGTACTAACCATCCGACAGTGCGGCACTCCCTCTCAGTACTGACCCTCCGACAGTACGGCGCTCTCTCAGCACTGACCCTCCGACAGTGCGGCGCTCCCTCAGCACTGGCCCTCCAACCCTTGGCGCATTTATCCTGCACAGATCTATTTCTTTCTTAAATATATTCAATGCCTTGTCCTCCACAGCTTTCTGTGGTGGAGAATTCTACAGGTTCACCACCCTCCAAGTGAAAAAAATCCCTCTTCACTTCAGTTTGAAATCGTCTAGCCCTTATTCTGAGAATATGACTCCTTGTTTCTTGGCAGCTTCCCCCACCCCAATCAGTGGAAACATAATTCTGGCATCCAGTGCGTCCAGCTCTTATCAGTATTTTATCTTTGAATCAGATGCCCTCTCAATCTTCTAAACTCAAGTAAATATGGGCCCAGTTGTCCCAGTCTCTCCTCATACAGCAACCTACTTAGGAATCAGCCTGGTTGACTCCCTTTGGCTCTCCCTCTGTGGCAAGTTTAACCTCTGTTTGTTTTTATGTTTAAATTATCTTTTTAGCCTGTGAACCATTGCTTTCTTGCCCACAACTTCCATTCCTCTGAAGCTCCAGTTTTTAAAGTTGGCATTGCCAGCTTTCCCGAGACTGTTACCAATTCCAATCTCAACCTATTCTGAAACTTTAAATGGGTAGGTTGAGATTGGAATCTGACTTGCTGGCTTGGAGCTTGGGGTGGAATGCGAGTGCCTTGCAGATCACTTTTGGTAAGCAGAACTGGCAATGCAGGATCAACTGATTCCAATGGTGACCATGTCGTCAACTCACTGCTCTCTCTGTAATATATCCAGAAACAACAAAAAAAATCTTTTCATTCCAGCAGCACCTTTGATCATCTCAGGATGCCCCAGAAAACCTCCTAGCCAACACTGTATGTTTGGAGTCGAGTCACTGTTGTGATGTAGGAAAACCAATTAGTGATTTGCAAAATCCCAGAAGCAGCAAGGTCATGATGACCAGATCATTTGTTTTCTAAATGTTGACTGGAGAGAGATATTGGACCAGACACAGAACATGCCTGCCTGTTTTTCCCCCAGTAACACCAAAATTGCAGAAAGGGCCTGCCTTTAAGTCTCATCTGGAAGAAGGCAACTCTGCAACACACTGAGTGGATTGTAGCGTTCAAATCTCTGGAGTGGACTTGTACCCACCACTTCCTAACTGAGAAGCAGTGGTGCCACATGTTGAGTCATAACTGATGGAACAAAAACAGAAGTTGCTGGAAAAGCTCAGTGGGTCTGGCAGCATCTGTGAAGAAAAAAATCAGAGTTAACATTTCGAGTCCGGTGACCCTTCCTTAAAACCAGTTCGAAACAATAACTCTGATTTTCTTCTTCACAGATGCTGCCAGACCTGCTGAGCTTTTC